CCATCTTGGAGGTGTATGAGTTGTTTTCGGAGGTGCCAGTGGAAAATATGATGTATAGGGAATAATCTGGTTATTATTTTTAATTAAGATGTCTTTATACATTACAAAATTTTTTTAATACAAAACTAGCCTAAGTGGGGGACCAGCTACTGTTGCAAACCTGGTTGCCAAGATCCACTTTGGAACAGAACGGTTCTTGTTTTTCTACATTACCAAACACTGGATTTACTCCAACCGTTTTGAAACGGAAGGAAACGGTCGTTTGTATGGGGGAACGGACCAGTTCCGTTCCCGCCAACAGCAGAGCCTAAAGTTTACTAGAGGGGATGTGAGGGACGTGGATAAATTCACGTTCAACGAGTAGATAACCGTACCCACCGTAGCCATTCACGGTGGACGTCTGGTAGACTAGGCTGCTACTGGGGTTGTTTTCTGGGTTAATATCTCACTGGCTCGCCTTGGCTCTTATCCCTAGTGCGGATAATCTGTGAGTTGAAGGGTAAGCAGCCACCGTGACAAATATTACTATTATATGCAATGCCACGACAGTACGGTCTGGCCTATCCCGATCCAATCTAGTTTTTCAGGCGATCCCCGGTTTGCCGCACAAGGACAGAAAGGAAGGAATAAATAAATATTTCTAACTCGAGTATCAGATCTATCGTAACACGGTCTGAGCGTTATTAGCCGGGCGTGCATATAAATAACCAAAGTGCCTGTGGTTTTATACCGTGAGCACCAAAGCTCGAGTTCACTCCTCCTGGGACATGCGCGTTTTATCGTTTCCACTGCTCTAGCAACTATGACAGGAAAGTGAATACCGGATCACGTAGGATAATACTAGTATCATAACATAATGTTACCACTCGAGCACTTGTACTTGTATCGCTATACAGTGCTTGTATATACCACACTTGACCGCACTATCGAAAGCTCTTACTCGTACAATACTTTAATTTAAAGACGTGTGACGCACACAACACAAGGCGTCAGGCTACTCTTAAATCTCACGTTTATCATACGCCTTACCCACCAAATAACTTAGTCCTTAAATTAAGGTTTTTAAGTTTTCTGTGAGAACGTGGCGAATCAACCGGACACAGATCGACTCGGGTCCGCCTAGCGGGAGGAGGTGGGAGAGATGGATAGATGGCATAGCAACAACAGACCTTGATTCCTCGTACTACACCTTACTATGCTAGACTGCGAGTACTGCATATTTTATGTGAGTGCGGTAGACTATCCCAATTCACCTCGCTAGGGTGGGGTTTACATGTACAACCTGAATAAAATAGAGGCCGGAGAGAGAGATCGAAGAGAGCATCAGAATGAGAGAAACAAATACAAAGCAATGGTGAAAAGGAGATGCTGGGGGAAAGATCGTAGAAAACCTCGATAGGAAAAGTGGCGGGGCAGTGAGAGAAGGAGGGAAGTGAAAGGCCTTCACGGAAATGGCTAATGAGCCGCCGACCTACTACCAGGAAGCAGCATATCTTGATTCCAATAAACGGGATAATGAACGACTATGCTATCACTCGACGAGTCTCCATCATCGTCATCATCACCTTCAGCACCGCTCCGTGCTCTATCATACTCTGCTTTCTCCAAAATCCGTTTCAGCTCTGTATGCACCCCTCCGTCAACACCCTCCGAAGGTCTGATCCCCTCGCTATTCCTGATACGAACCCGAGCGCCCGCTTGAAGCAACAGCCAGACCATATCCTTCAGCCCCCGGAACGCCGCGGCATGCAGCGGGGTATTCCCCTCATTATCCTGCACATCCAGCCCCGCCCCATGTTTGATCAACAACCTCGCGAACTCGATATAGTTTTTTTTGGCGGCAGCGTGCAAGGAGGTAGCACCGTATCTAGTCGCGGCATCACAAGCACCGGGAGAGCGCATCTTGGGCAGTAGCAGGCGGGCAACATCCAGGTAATTGTCTTCGGCGGCGCGGTAGAGCGGTATAACACCGTTAACGTTGGCGACGGCGACGTTGGCGTCGCACGATAGCAGCATGCGCACGGCGTCGAGGTTGCCGTAGGTCGCAGCGGAATGCAGGAACGTGTTCCCAGTGTTCTCAGCATAGTCGACACTAAGGCCGTGGCTGATGAGCGAACGTATGATGCCGAGTATTCCACGGTTAACACCCTCGTAGCATTCCCTTGCCACAGGGTATTTGCGCGGGTCAGCACCCGCATCGAGTAGCTGCTTCACAATTTCCTCGTGGCTTTGGCCCACAGCCAGACTTAATGGCGTGGAGGGCATCTGGCTCGTGTCTACGACGTCCAGCTTCACTCCCGGCTTCTCGAGAATCGCTTTCACGATGCTTGGGTTCTTGCTTCCGACCGCGTAGTGCAGGGGTGTCCTCCCGTCACCTGTGCGGGTAACCAAGTTGACGTCCGCGCCTAATTCTAACATGCGGAGGGTGGAGCGAGTGTTCCCTGTTTCGATGCATCGGCAGAACATGGACTTGCCGTATCCGGAATGCTTCACTGCGGCTCGGTAGAGGGTCAATTCGAGGAGTGTCGCGAACCGGCGGTTGCACTGTGACAACGCGGAAATACTTGGCACTGGGAGAAGCTCCGCGATCGCGAGTATCAACTCGTTCGGTAACTCGAGAAATTTCGATCCCTCCTCCTCTGCCTCTTTCTCCTCCTCCTCCTCCTCCTCCTCCACCTCCACCACCTCCACCTCCTCCACCACCGCCTGCCTCTCCTCTTCCCTCTCCTCTGCCTCTTGCTGATGCCTCTTCATGTGGAAATCGTTCCCCAATTGTATCGGCTCAGGGACTGGTGACCTCAGCATCATGCTCTGACTACTACTTCCACCGCCACCATTCCCACCACCATCATAAAATGCAGAAACAGTTGGAGGTGCCGTCATTCTCCTCGTCGGTACAGCAGGCGTAGAAATCGTCCCACCCAAAGCCGGCGATGGTGGTTGCGACATCGACGTCGGCATAACCCCCGGAGCATCAATAGAAAGCTTCGAATTAGGAATATTAACAGCCAAAATGGGCAGAGGAGCATTCGTTGGCCTCTGCCGTCTAAACTTCCGGAAAAACCGACGCATGTTGCGAAAAGAGAAAAATGAATAAATAAACCTTGCCTTTAGCCTTGACGAGAGAGAGAGAGAAGAGATACAAGTCTTGGTGAATAAGGCCCAGGAACTTGACGTATTAACGAGAAATAACGATGACGAAAGTCGGTCGGGAAGAGAAAAAATAAACAGCAAGAGCACACCCCCGCTTTTTTATTTCTTCGGCTCGGGTGACACACCAGGACGCCTCTGTGTTGGACGATATGGACAGCGTTACACGGCGAATAAGACCGTTGAGGAGAGTGAAGGGGAAATACGACCTACCAGACTGAAAATCAATTATAATTGGAGGAATGAAGGGACCAGGATGGAGGGCCTTACAAGCAGGTCCGTGCTCTGCGATTTCTCTGCTTTGCTGTATTATACAGGTACGGTATTATACTCTACAAGTACGGTACCGATACTCCTCGAGTAGAGATAGGGTACTCACGTACAGTGCTCGAGTAGCGCTTGTAGAATGGAAAAAGAGAGGGAGAGAGGGAGAGATAAATGGGCAAATGCGACGATCGGAGCAATATTAGCATGGACGATTACCAAGTTACCTATCGGTTCCGTATTGAGTAAAAAAAGAAAGAAAATGGTGCCAAACCGGCTGTTTTGCTATGATGGCACTTGAGAGGTCGATTTTTGGCAGGGGGTTCCTCTTTTTTGTTGCCTTCGGATTGGGTGGAGGGGTTGCAGCCAATCACATTTCGTCACTCGTCTCTTGGAGCTTGTTGTGTTTCTGTTGTCTCGGGACGTTCCGTTTTCGGTTTGATACTGTACTAGTACGACAGTAGGGAGTCATCATGCAAGTACCAGTGCTCGAGCAGTGGATCACCCTGGGAATCGGAGCAGGGGTATCAGGGAGGTGATAAGTTCTACCGGTACCGGTACTTGCTTTGGATATTTGGATATTCATGATATACCGGTGGTACTGGTAGCCTACAAAAGATCAATTGATGAATAACTATGATATGCCTTCCTTGCTAAAACCAACGCGCCACCGATCCCCCCCAGAAGTGCCCTTAGAACTGCACCCACCGGTCTGGGTGGCATCCTGCGGGTAGTTTAGTGCTAAAATTAAACTAGAAGCGCAAGATTTCTCAACTGCAGCAAAAAGGGTATCATATTACCCAACAATAATCCCACCATAATAACTTAACCCTCAACCGTCTAATTGGTCTACCGTAGATTTCACCCGCGCTTAACATCCTGCGCCCTATCTAATCCAAAGCAACTGCGATATAATCCTATCACCCTCTAATGGAAGCTTTTTTCATAAGAAAACAAAAAAAAAGAGATGATTTGGACGAGATTCGAACTCGCGCTCTTTCGAATTACGGTTTTGAACCAAGTTCCTAAACGTAACGCCTTAACCACTCGGCCACCAAATCATACCCAAATCTCTTTTTAGATGCTTCAAGTGGTCAATTCCTTCTGGCGCCCTCGATTGAACAAAGAGAACGGGGACACCAGTCACGAAATGACAAAACCCCAACATTACGATAAATCTTGCTATCCCCCAATCACCCGCACATAGCATTTTTTTCTTTTCTTCATCAACTATCCTATCCCCCCTCTAAGCAATATAAGAAAGAATCGATGATGGTAAGAAAGTGAATAAAAGAGATTAAGGAGGAGATGCAAACAAACGCCAGCCAGCCCCCGCGCTAGCTCAGAATCATGAAGAAAGTCAAACACCTGATGTTAGACATATTACATGAGAACACCTTTGAGATTTGGATGGCCTCGAATAAGCGAAAAGAAAAAAAAGAGGAAAGGAGAGGGAGCAGATGCATGGAGAACTCGCTCACTCCTACTAGAGAGGGGTGGAAGCGGGAAAGAAGAGACGTTAAAACGGGAAGGATTGGGATTTCTAGAGGTATGATATTATGTACTTCATTTCTGCCTCCTACTGCGAAATCCCCGGGGCAAATAGATTTAGGATGGCGGGGGGGGCATATGAGAACAGATTGGCTCAGGGTGGTACCATACGTATTCACTCTTCTGGACACGCTCCGATACCTTTTGGGTATTACCCACCACGACGCCGAGAAACTACCCAAGACAGATCAGTGGTGCGATCGCGACAAGAATCGAGAAGGCAAAAGCCCGGTAAATAGGTTCGGACAATCAAATTCCATCCTGGTCTTTATCCTCAGCTTTCAGAGCTGCCGGGGATATATATCCGTGCTTCGGCGATAAGAGCTTGGTATCCTTAGGGGTTCCGGAAAGCCATCCTCCTTGCTCCCAATGCCCTGGCTCGTAGGCATTTCTCGCCCTTACGGCTGGATCCCGGATGCCGTCTAGAAGTAGCTTTAGCCTCCCGAAGTTGACGGGTTTCAGTATCCACCCATCGAAGCCAAAGTCAATATATTCTGCTCGCCTCTCCTCAGCCAGTGAAGCTGAGACAGCAAATATCGGTACACGGCGATTAATACGGTGCCTTGTCGGGATACATTGGTCTGAATCAGCCCCTTCAAATTGACGGATACGAGTGGCTGAGGTTCCCCCATCCATGATGGGCATCTATAAAGGTCAGGAACTATCACTGAACTTCGAAAATCAAACAAACTTGCCTGTATGTCCATCAACACGATATCAAAATTTTGGCCATGCTTGGAGTATAGGTCCGCACATTCTTCTCCATTTACAGTGAGAACGACCCCATGACCCATCTTGCTATTGATTGGATTGTCTTCTGCCACCAAAATTTCATACTTTTCTTGGGGCGAATTGGGATCGGCAATGGGGGGGTGATTTCATGGGTGGTACTACTGTATCTGCTGCGGGCGGTGGGGTGGGGCCAGAGTTTTCGTCTGGCACTTCTAGGGCCTTGATAGGCGCGAATGAGCCTTCTATTATCTCTGGACTAGGTTGTTGCTGTGGTGTAGCGAAACCCATAATATTCGAGAACGATTTTGTGCATATGCCAGCACCTGGCCTTTGGGGTGGGTTATTTGAAGTCGCGCTCAAATGGGGACCTGAAACCGCACGAATAAACCTGTCGATCCCGCCTCCTCTAACGTCGATCACCTGGAAGTGACACAATACCCGGATGTGACACAAGGCGGAATCCGCCGAAATGAGGCATTCTGTGGGTGTATAACCCCGCTCTCACATCCGCTAAGTGATCAATACAACCACAAACACAATGGCACCATCAAAGAAGTCCCATTCCGAATACGAGGAATGCCTACAGCAAGCAATATGAGTAATTAAATCAGGTGAAGAACCAAATGTGGCCGCTGCAAGTGAGGCTTTTGAGGTCAACTTGCGAACACTATACCGTCGACTTGCTGGAATGACCACTGCCCGAGCTGCTGCCCACGAGGAACAGCAGCCCCTCACAGTGTTGGAAGAGAGTGCTATTGTTAAATGGTGCTTTACCCAGGATGATATTGGCTTTCCACTGCGTCTTGACATGGTAAAGGATATGGCAATTCACTTAGAATTTAAGCGAACGGGAGATACCCCCCCCACTTGGCAAGAACTGGATCACCAGGTTTCTTTGATGGCACCCTGACCTAGCATTGAAGCTCAGCAGCCAGCTGGAGCGACAGCGTGCATACACCAACAATTTGGAGGTTATACGAGATTATTTTTCCAAACTTGGAAGACTCATACGAGAGCATAGGCAAGAAGAGTTCCAGATATACAATATGGATGAAAAGGGATTTCTAATGGGACTGGCCTTGCGAGCTAAGGTCCTCTGCCAGTGTGGTAGGAGGAACCCCAGGGTCAGCCATGATGGGAAATGGGAACTTGTCACAGTTATTGAGACAGTTGGGAGTGGCGGAACTGTTATGTCGCCATTTATAATCAACAAGGGTGCTGGACATTACATGAGATGGTATAAGAATTTGACAGAAAAGGAAACAGAATATCAGTTTAGCTACTCACCCAAGGGCTGGACAGATGATCAGTTGGCGCTTAAGTAGTTACGAAGGATTTTCATTCCTGAGAGTGAGGCAAGATGTAGTGATCTCCTGCGGCTCCTCATATTCGATGGCCAGGGATCTCATATTACTTTTGAATTCATATCATTATGCTTTTCAAATAATATATTACTCCTCTGCCTACCCCTCCACTTGACTCACTTACTACAACCCCTTGATGTAGGCCTATTCAGCCCCTACCAGCATTTTTATGGCCTGGCAGTTGACAACTATATTCGCTCTAGTCAAAACCTCCAAGGAATTAAGAAGTCGATGTTTATTCCTTTCCTGACTGAAGCTCGTCATGCAACCTTTATGGAACACAATATATGCCAATCTTTCTCTGCTACTAGGATCCATCCTCTCAATCCACGCTGGGTACTGGTGAAACTCAACCCCAGAGTTGAGAAGCGGCGTGATACACTGGGTATTATCAAAAAGCCTACTGGTAGTCATGAGATACGCCACCAAGTTGTAGCTGCAGGGAACCTCCTTGCTAACCTTACCATCAACAATACGGTTTCCACAATTGATCGAGTCAAGGGAATAATGTGCTCCCTCAGCCATCAGCTGGAGGAAGAAATTGCTGGTAAGGAACTTTGGCGTGAGCAAAGCCTAAGGCTTCAAAGCAGTGACAAGCTCTACAATGCCATAGACCGGCGAAAGCTTAGTGAAGTAAGAGTGCTTGATAGGACAGCACTGATCAAGCTACGCGATGCACATATTACCAAAGATGTACAAAAAAAGATTTCCAAGGCTTGTGGGAAAAGAGCTGGAAGTACCCCAGTCTGTATTCGAAAAGGACCTACGAAAGCGAAGCGCCAACCTCCCACCACCTCCTCCTCACATCCTACACCAACAACTCCCCAGCCTACTCGCATGCAGACAAACATTATCAACATTTCCAAGATACCTCATCTGCTGGTAATCAATTCAGAAGAGGTTTCTATCGAGGAAAGTTCACCGGAAGACATTAGTGATTCTGAATGGTCTTCAGTCATTACTCTCGGCCCTCCACCAACCCGGCTACCTCCCTGAACACTCCCCCCCCCCAGCCAAGGCCAACCAACCTCTACCCCCTATATGATCATACGCAGTCGCAAGCCTACTGTCGACTGAGCAACTTTTTTCGCAGTGGTATGCCCCCCCTCCCTACACCACTCCCACATGCTTGATCTAACATCATACTTTTTTTTTTAGTCCTTTCCTTTCGCTATGATACATAATTGTTATTTGGTTTGCGTGGTTCTTCTGATATGTCTTTTGTTATGATAGCTTGAAAAATCATCTTCTGGGGAGTGTCGCTACGCTTTGACATTTCTCTTTATTGCGCAATGTGAGACTGTGTCATATCCCGGTCTTATGTCACTTCCCGGTGGGTGACGTTACCCTTTGCACTGCCAATGGACCCCAAACTGTTCATACTTGTGCTGCTATTTCTCTTCGCCATATCCTGAGATCTGCAGTTCTGAGAACCAATTAACAATACCTCATCTAGAGCGGCAGCCATTAGAGGTGGCTGTGGTGGGGGTGACCCTTGACTTTTGGCGACTCTTCTCTCCTGCTCCGAGTCGAGTCCTGTTCAGGGTGCAAGCGGAAGCGGAAGGCTGATGACGAACCTAGAGCCCTTCCCCCGCTCAGATTTCAATCGAAGTTGGCCATTCATATTCCTCACAATCCGAGCCACAATCGCTAACCCAAGCCCTAAAATCTTCTGTCCTGGTATTTTAGACACCGCGTTAAAGGATGATCGAGATGGGCTTTCGTTCTCTCTGGCCTCTTGACGATCAACCGCATCCTCCTCGGGGTGGACTTGCTCAAATTCCCTGAATAGTGCCTTTAGTTTCTCCGGTGACATTCCAACCCCGGTGTCCTGAACTGCGACTTCAATCTGGCATCGGTCCTCTGCAGCTTGGGACATCCAAATCTCAACCCTAACGCCACCTTCTAAAGTGTGCTTAACAGCGTTTCCTACAATATTGGAAACAACCTGCCGTAGCCGTGCCTGATCACCCTTAACAAATCCGGGTAACCCTTCGTATTCAGCGACTTCAAAGGTGATATTCTTCCGTTCAGCGTCTGATCTACATCTCTCAGTAGCATCACGAACTGTTTCAGAAAGGTCGAACACCTCCTCCATGATCAGGTTTTTGAACTACCTCGGTGCGAGTGAGATCTAACAGATCCTTGATAACGTAAATAAGTGATTTGGACGCAGAGTGCGGTCTCATCAGATTATCCCTTGTCTCATTGTCAAGAGGGCTCTCCAACGCGATCTCAAGGTAGTTAATAATGGCACCAAGCGGTGTCCGGACTAGATATATCATGAGCAATGGTGCCTGAAAAGGGGGACCCGCAATGCGCTGACCTTCATGAGACGCATTGGCGAAAAGCAGTCGGGTAAGTTGACTGTTTTGCAGTGCTGTCTCCTTTTGTCTCCAAACTTCAATAAACTTGCCATAGATCAAGCACAAGACCGCCGCCATTTCGATTGTACATCAATAACAAATTTAGTCTCTGGGAGTAAAATAAGGAAATCACTCATTTCTCATCCTGTTCTTCCGTCCAATATCTAAATTTCCCCACCACCGTCTCACTCCAAGTCTTGAAGCTTTCCCTCGGTTCCAGGTACTCCTTTGTGCCCTCTTTCACGCTCTTCTCGTAGGGGTTTCCAGCCCAATTGACTTTCCACAGCTGGCCCTTACGGAAGAAAACTATAAAATCTTGTCCTCCAACACTAAGTGGCACAAGCAACAATCCCGCAATTATTGAAAATCCGGGCTCGTAATTGAGGTCTGGAAAATCGACGCTAAGGTTTTGTGAAGTAAGGACCGAAGTGAATTTGCGCATCCGTAAATATTCCAACATTGCGAATGATTCCCGTGAATGTTCGAGTTTACCGAGGACCTTAGTTTCCTCACGAATAGAAAGTAAACCAAAGTCGACGTCAAATGGTTTCAACAGATCATCCGAACTAGCGATAATATAACCGCTAGGGTTCTGCTCTGTCGGGACTGTATTGATCAATTTCCGGGTCTGAAGTCTCGATGCATAACTTAACCTCTCGATATTCTTGCTAGCGGTTTCCCCGATAAGTCTGCGCATTTTCCGTAAGGGAAAGCTCACTCTCATCCCCTTCTGGCCGTAGCTGTGGCATGAAATGAGCCCCCAAAGCTTGTCAAATTCTGTGAGTGAAACGCTTGTGCTTGCCCGTACCGCCATATTTTTAAGGTACTTGATGTGAATTGGGCTGATTGCCCTCAGATATGAATGTGTCATGTCGAGGGGATGGTCTAGATAGTCTTTACTCTTGCATACAAGACGAGCAGTCACCTGGTCTCTGTCGTATAACAGCCTGACTTTGTTGAGGAGATATAAATCCCTTGCTTGCTTCGGGATGTCCGAGGCCGGAAAGCGAAGACTTTTGTATAGGTCCTTGGTTGCTCTTGGATCGACTAGCTCTGTAACTGCTCAGCCATTCCAGACCTCGTCAAACCGGTAAATCATCACACGGTGAAATCATGTAAGCTCCTTGACAATCCTAACAAGCACTTTTAGAAAGACACCAAGAGTCGAGGCAGATGATAACTGCTCTGTGTTTGAGACATTATTAGCGCGCTCACCCTATACGGTAGGTTATACTGTGAAAAAGGGTTTAATTACCCTGAAACTGGCTCATGAGATTAAAAACCTCCATTACTGCTGCTTGTCCTCTCCGCTTTCGGGCATGCATTAGTACTCGCAGTGGCCTGCTAGCACTTAAAGTACTTTCTAATAAATCTTGTTCACTAGGGTTTGAGTTCAATGTGTCCTCAGGCGGCGGGGGTGTTTCCTCTTCTGCTGGACTAAAAAGTGGGTAGATGTGATTGCCCTCCAATTCAAACTCACAAATGAGAAGGTCAGGGTTTTTTCCTGCAATGTGAATAGTGCACCAAAGTTTTATTCCTATTGGGTCGGGGGAATTTATCGCTATCGGGAAGACATCTGGTCCTGAGTGCACCGGATCAGAATCACAGTCTCAAAGTCCAAGTGTTCATATAGGTTCTCGGCCTGCTCTTCGGAAAGAATATTGCAGAAGCTGCCTAATGCGAAGAGTGCTGCTGGGGAGTAGCCAATTATTTGCTCAGAATTCTATACTCAAATGATTCAGATTTTTGGTGTTTCATATTGTTGAAACCAATGAATTGAAGGAAGGGCACAAACCTCACTAACAATCTTTACATCAAGCCCTCCCTCCATACCTCCTTTAAGGGCTATTAACACACCAAACCCTTGGACTGCTCTGGGTATGTGTATTGGCTCATCCTCACATCTTTGTATACTTTCACTCCCGGAAACACCCGTGACTACCATATGCCCTTCATCTGTTACCAGATGCTTGAATCTTGCAGTTACATACCGTAAAAACTGGAATAATTGAGATTGGCGCTAAGAGGTTAGTTTAAAGTGAGGTGCATGGAAAGACCCAAAGTTTAGCGGATATGAGTGTCTCGATTCCTGAGGCAAGTAGTGAGACACTAATATCTCAACCTCAGCTCATGATACAACGCGCACGACCCAGGTGGCAAAATCAAAATAGAGAGGTTAGGAAAGGACTTGTAGAATAACAGGATAAGGAGTAAAATTGTAGTCTACGAATTGAATTATCAGCACACAAATCTGAAAACACCACACTGTAATATTACGACAAAATGCCTCCAAAGACCGCTGGATGAATAAAGACGAAACTGACCTTAGAGCCTCTACCACCAAACGGATTCTATGCAGGTGTGAGGAAAAAGCCAGGACCAGCAAGAGGATATCCGAGGCATTGCGGGCCCCACCAAAGCCAGTCAAAAGTCCCTATCGCTTATATAGTGTTAGTTACAAACTCCGTGTACTATCATACTGGAAAATACTATCGATACAAACCAGTCCAACCCACTTCCGAACCCCAACACATTCCGAGGTAGTTTGTAGATTCAAAATTCCTGGCGCCAATCTTTATCAGCGGAAGGAGGAAGAAGCTGTGGGTAAATTTGAGAATCTAGGAAATGATCGGTACCGAGTAGTTAGTGGGGGGAGGAAGAGAAAGTGGGAAATCTTAGAGCGAGAACTTTACGACAGGTTTCGTATATGCCGAGCTGAAGGAAGGATTGTTCGACGTAGATGGTTTAGACGAGTTAGCAAGGAGATCTTTAAGATCACATATCCAAAATAATGATTTTGGGGGGAGGGACTCCGCGAAGGAACAATTAATGAAGGGGGGATTGAAACTACGGAAGGAGAAATTGAAGCTGCGGATAGTGAGGCCAAGCGTCTAGTCCATCTGTCTTCGGATCCGGACGGGACGGTAGTATCTGAGAGGGTGCCCGAGACGGATGGGCCGGGACCGCAGGTGTCAGGTTGCAGAATCTACCGCGTTACTCGGGGTGATCGGTGAGGACCTGAATGTCAATTTTCTGCACTTTGGGGAAGTTGAGCACAATGGTGAGGCGGTCGAGAGCGCGTAACTGACGGCATGTCAATAGATATGAAAGCAAATGAACGATAACAGACTCACATCACCGGCGCAGACATATATCTGGTTAATAATGTTATAATCAAAAACTTCCAGAAACTATTTGGTTTCTTCCGCGATGTTGTGAACAACCTACTGAAGAACTTGCTCATTGATGGTCTTAGGAATACGACTAGGAGTGGCAGCGGTCATAGGGTGATTTATTCTTCCCTCGGTATCGCGCTCGGTGGTAGCTTGCATAGTCAAACCACGGTAGAAGACGACGGAGACCAAAACTCAATTGGCATGACCTCAGCCAAACCAGCAAGTGCAGAGTTTTCGCCTAGAGGATGTCCAGCGAAAACGGAATCGCCCTGGATTAAGCCACGAGATCTTATGTCCTCGACCGGAAGCCTTCTCCATAAGAGTGAGCGCCGGCTCTGTGAACTTGGCCGCAGACAAAAGACCCGTTGGGGGTAGTAGGTGCATGAGGTAGTTACCTCTGTAACATCTTTGATGATCTTCTCCGATTTTGTTGACCCGTCGGAGCTGATGCTCCCATAGGTTATTGACATATAGTTCTGCCTAATAGCCTTTCCATGCGGTCCGCCAAAATGAAGGCAATTCTTTGGGGTTATTTTTCACAAGGTTTCGTAATTGCGAAACCTGTAATACAGTAAGTATGATGAAGGGGAATAACGAGGGAATGACTTACCATAATTGTCCATAAAATGTCGATCAGCCCTTCCCCAAACCTCCCCCCCGACAGGCGAGGAGTCGTACAGACCCATCCCCATACCTTGCCCCTGACTTCCTTGGCTGGCAAATATAAGGGCAGATACCAGTTGCTCGACCTCTGCCTCTCCTACAAATACCTTCACTTGGGTTTCCTTGTTAGTGGCCAAAAATTTGATAATATTTCTAGCGCTGACCATACCGGCGTGATGCAGCTTAGTCTCAATATCGTCATTTAGTAAGTTAGTACCATACGGACAAAGTTACACGAAAAAGACCTAGTCCGGGCAAGGTTCTCCGGAGTCCAAGTTTCAAAAAGAGATCTCACTGCCGCTGATGAGAACATTCTATGAGTGATAATTTCGGCAAGGTTAGTATAGCTAGAGAAGGTCCGCGAAACGTGAATTGGATTGTAGTCGTCTGGTACACGGGCACATCTTCCGTTGCTTGCTAGGGCTTTGATGAGAACTTTAGTTTTCGCGTTGAGAGAAAAAGCATTGTCGAAGTTGAAGGCTACCGGATGCTGGTGCCTTGGAGTTGGAGATAGTCAATTATGATAGTGGATTTCCGTGACTCTGACTTGGAATGTACTTGTACTAGTACGGTACTGGACAGACGCAACTTGTGTAACCACGTTTGTAGATAACGTCCTCCAGTCGTAATCTACCGCATAGCCATTCACATGCCCGACAGCTCTCCCCCCTTTCCCTCTAGCACCAGTTGTGGTAGGGATTTGCCTGTTCTGGATACCCAGGCATTCGGTTGGGTTCGATGGCAGTTCCGGAGAGACCTGCTGGGTTCAGAGAGAGATGAAAAGAAGATGGATGGTTCAATCACTATGAAGATTCTATTGGAATTCTTTCAAAGAGATATGGGTAACGGAAGGGAGAGGTGATGGTTGCTCTCCTCTGTCCCCTCCTTCTCTTTCTCTTAAACACATGCTCTCCGGCTTAATATGAAATGACGGAGCTTCAAAGCAACACAAACACTCAACGACTATCCATGTAATCTTCGGCTAACCATACCCGGGCTCCACAGTACTCTAGCAGTTTATAGAAAGAAAGAATTTTATTCTTAAAGATATCTCCTTCATACTAGTAAACCTATCCCATCGAAACTTAACAAACAAAGGGATAGACAAGGGGGAAAATAAGAGGGGGCAAAACGGCATCGTTCCGCCAAGCCACATTTGCGGCATTCTGAGATGTGCTCATAGCTTCTTTACAGGACTAACTGCACCTCCTGCAAAGATGCCGGGGTGTCGGTGTGTGACTTTGTCATCTTCGTGTTTAGATTTAAGGGGAGAGAGTTTGATGGAAAACTGTCATCTGGTTTCGTGGTGTAGTTGGTTATTAACACCACGAACTGTTTTGTAACCCAAAACCTGAATAGGGAGGCGGCGAGTCAGTCTTTGGTTGAACACTACTACATTTTGCTCTCCCCCTACTAGAAGGGTTTAGCTAGGATAAATTTATGATATTAAACCCCCACTGGTGGCCATGGCCCCATATCCCGCATATCCCACTGGCCCATCCCGGGGTCTATATCCATATTTGCTTTCTCTACAGGCCGGTTCAAGGAGTTCTGCATCACTCCGATAACTTTCTCCACCAGGTGAAATGACTTGAGCATTGTAAAGGATAATCACCATCCCGACAAGATGTGAATGCATACTGCAGTCTATAAGTCATAAGCTAACTCCCAAGTTCAAATTTGTGTTCTTTATGTTATCTACCATACCCTTTTAAGGTCACGCGGTGCTATTCGTGTCTCAATAAGTTATTAAACTGCACTATCGGTATGTTGGAAACAAAGGGCCGGAAAATTGAGCATTGCTTCAACAACGCAAAACTAATAATACCACACAATTTTCAATAAGGAACTACATTATGAGGAACGAAACTCAGGACATAACTGCATATTGGTTCTACACCACCTGATGGTGGAAAGAAAAAAAAGAAAGAAGAAAAACAAGACCTTCTCCCACTCGCTCCAACTTCAACCGAGCCTCATCCCTTAACCTGTTCTCCGCAACTGTGTTTCATTATTCCACCGCTTAACTCCTTTAGCCATTATATAATCTATCTTCAACAGGGAGGGGTCGGGCCCTGGTTAAAAGTGGAGTGAAATTCGGTATATACAGGCAATGGGATACATACATCGAGGGATTAATCATGACCAAACAAAGAACAGTCACGGTTATGATTGAGCAGTACCCTATCGCGGAGTAAATTTATGAGATTATCATAGTATGATAGGATTGTTGCTCAGTCAAGCTGTGGCCATGGGGTGAACCCTGATTATTGCAGTTCTCCGATATGTTCTAGTTGTGTGGGACTCTGTCGTGAAGGCGTTTACTGTACAGTACATACTCGTACTCTGTAAGCTGGCATAGAATGGTGGATACTCACCCACCAACCACATGACTATGTCCAGCAATGGTAGGAGTTAGGGCTATTGGCAGCAGTCCCAACCTGCTTACGTGTACCAGAGAGAAACGTTCATAAACCACGCAAACTCTGTCCACGACCCCTCCATTCAACCGCCAGAGAGAAACTACCTTACCATGGCTACAAAAATTCTCAAAACAATCAAGCAGGGGCTTGAAACTCACAACTGCGAGTTTCTTGTATTCCGACAACTTGATCCAACTGTATCCTCCAAAGTCCTCAAAACCCTTCTTTATCCGAAAGACAACACCGATAGCCTTGGATTGACAATGGAGGAGATGCTAATTATTACTAGAATCCACTTCGTGGCCCCCGACAGCTACCTCAGGGTAGTGATACCAACCGCCCTTCATGAGAGTGCAGTTAGTTGGATGAGGACGGAATTCAACTTGTGGGTGTATGACCATCTCCTCACCCCGGCAGCCTTTGGAGCAATATCGGATTCCCTTATTAGTATGTCCATTTACCCTACGAGGCTCCCCAGCCTCTACTGATAATTGTATAGCTCATGATCACTTTCTTGGAATATTTTCAGGCTCATAAAAAACACCAGACCTCGCCTACAGCCCCTGTATCGATGGGATAAGGAGGGAATTTCCAACGGTGGTCCTCGAGTCTGGATGGACAGAATCACAGGCACAATTACTGCGTGATCTTCAATTGTGGCGGGAAGGGACAGCAGGGGCCGTCAATGTTGGACAGAAGTGTTTCTTGGCTGCTCACCGCACATTTCCCTTATGGCAACGACCACACAACCCTAACCCTCTTGGTATCAACTACTCCAACGTCTCAATGTTTGACTACTGGTTAGCCCTCCACATCAAACACCATATGTGACAACATCTGCGACGATACCTGCGATGACTCCATATTAGGGCGTTACTCCTATCATATGGAAATACTGAATGTCCTTGGCCAGAGTATACCCTCGGTCGAATTCACTTATCCTCGGCCGAAGCGGTACAATGGACAATAGTGAGACTGAATGTGATAGAGAACACGGCATACGCTGGAAGTATGTGGAAGCAGATCAGTATGATCTCGGGGAGGATAAAAGGCAGCTTGTTTTCCCTTGTTAGTTGTTTTCGTTCGTTATCCAATCTGTCTCTCTTTCTTCCGTTACTCGCATTTGGGTCATAGCAGTCTTTCCCGTTATATTTTATTCCCTATCGTTGTTCTTTGTGAGAATATTTCTCCAGTTAGGATATTGAAATTCATCTTTACATCTTTGCCCTGCCTAAGTCAACATTGTCCAAATCGCTGCCGTAATCCTTGTTGTTTAAAAGTCAAGATCGTTATCTTGTTCAAAATTTTTAGATCACGGTTTCACTACAGCGCTGTCGCCACCTTGACCTTCTTTCGATATGTGGGTGGTTCTGTACTAGCGATAACTTTTTATGTATGCTTCTCCCTTTCCTACCGTACCTCCCTTTATCTTTCTTGCACCCTACTAACCAATTCCCTTATCCTGTAGCCAATCTTTCCTCCTCCTGGCCAGCCCAAACCCGATCCATGGATAACAATGGATGAGCTTTTTGGGGGCAGAACTCCCAATGGGCTAAACCCGGAAACACATCTACCGTTAAGTATGGGACGACTTCGGATGAAAGTGGAGGCGGAAATCCGACAGCAGGGATATGTCCCCGAATTCAACTAAGTGTTGTGTTGTTTAGAGGAACGGAAGGGTAGCACAGGTTGTTCGCCTTTTTGTTCCGGTTCATGGGATATTGGGCACGTGGATGGGTGGAGGTGTTATGGAAGAGGCTTCATCTCCCTCGCCCTCGCAGACAGGCTAGTAGTAAAAGAAATATCGGATTAAGTATCGCCAACCTGCGAAAAGTTTTTCTTCTAAAAAAAACCCGCTCTCTTTTTGTGACCAAGTGTGCTCTACCGACATATACCAAGCGACACACCACTGGCACCGGAGGCCAGATCATCGTACTTGAACATCGCCCCCCCGCTTTTTCTTTGTACAGACCCTTACTCAAGAAAACAAGAAACAATGCCGAAACAAAAACCTTCATCGGCGAAAGCGCTATACAGGGCCGCAGCCAGCCTACGTTTCCTGGTGGAGGACGTGCGCACCGTGCTACTGATTTGGCCGCAGTTACCGCGCTTGGACGAGATTATCTGGGGTGTGGACGACGTCGGGAGGGTGTCGGATGGGGTGCTGGTGGGACTTTTGGATGGGAATGGGAATGGGATGGAGGGTGTTGAGAGGGGGTTGTCGAGAGGTGTAGGAGGACTTTGGATGTGGTTGTTGTTGTCGTGGACCTGTTTCCCGGGGAGCAGGGGGGGTATTAGAGGGGCTGAGGGGAGAGGGTGTGGTAGAACAAGAGGTTTGATGGGATATGGACATAGGACTTGGCACCCGGTTTCGTGGTGTACGG